CAGGTTGACTTGCGTCCGTAAGTAAAAAGAAAATGCATGAGCTGTCTTGTAAAAATTGCCATCTTCAACGTCGCTGGTTGCTTGCTTCACGACCAGATCTAGTTGATGAGGAGGACACCAAATGCGGAGAACTTTGTTTGAACACATCCTCACCAACCTTGTGACTACTCCTTCGATTCTTTCCGTCATTGTGTTTTCTCCATAAGAGCTGATAGAGATGACTTTGTCTATCCAAATTGGACAAAGCACGTTCAAAAGCAGACTAATCAATTCCACGTAATTTACCGCCGTATGACGATCCCAAAAAGGCATCAATAATAGATAGAGGTTCATCAACACACCCTGAACGCATACTCGAATTCGCAGATTAAGGAATGGAACTCCTCGATGGTTTGAACAGTCAGCGGCTAAAGACCCATAGAGAAGATTTGCACAACACTGTCGAAATTAACTGTAATGAAACGGCAAGCATAACCCTGACGAAATTGCCAACCATATGGTCGGATATTCCAACCAGTTTAGCGTTCTTGATACGATTTTGATGTTGATAATCACAGTAGGAGTCTGCCTAAACAACAGACCCGCTTTTGTATGATGAATAGATAACCACAATCATAACGGATTTTTGATAATGACAGTATACTTGCATACTCCTTTGTTGACTCCCAATTTGAAGAGCTTCAAAGCATTCGCCTTCGAGATCGGTTCCACTTCATCGTCGTCCTCATGTAGCTCTGGCCTAAAGAACAAATTGCCAACAAGATCATTGACAATTTTCAAATTGGAGATAGTGAAAGTGACAACCTCCAATTTGCGATTCATGAATGAATGAATTCCGCTGTTTAGTTTCTCATCAAAATACTTTTTCTTCTCCTCAAAAGAAAACTGATGATACGCTGCCCAGTCGCTTTCTTGTTGCGTCTCAAGATGTTTTTTATATAGCTTGGGTCAAAACGGGAAGTGAAATAGTTGAATGTTTTCAGTGCGCTTTCGTTTGACACCAGCACCTTCCCAACTCTACCTTACGTTGAACACGCAAAACTGACATTGCACTGTTTCCACCTTCTTGCCGCATGTAGAATACTTCGCAATCTTGAGACCGAATTGAATGCCATGTACTTTACCGAATGGCGTTTCACGAGGCATTGGACTGTTAAAATTGTTAAACACGTCGCGATTGCTCTCCTACTCTGTCACTCACTTAGAAAGATGAGGTGAAAAATCAAACAATCACAACAAGAGAAAACTAAGAAAGAACATGACTCGAAATGATAAGAGAAGCAACAATTCTACATCATACTTGTTGCAGATTTTTCTAATCGTGCGTTGCAATTCAAAGGTGACAAGTTTGTTATTTTTGTTTCATCAAAACTTGAGAACGGTGGACATCAAAGATTGAGATGCGTAACAGTTTGTTATTTTTGTTTATTGAAACTTGAGAACGGTGGACATGAAGGTTGAGACGCTTAACCTTGACATGTTATATAGTTAGGAGGTTGACACGTAATAGTAGTTTGTAAGAATGACACATTGCATTGTTGGGAGGTTGACATTTAATACTAGTTTTTCTTAAAATTCTCAAACTGTACGTGTGAGGTTTTGAGTGCTTACGCCGTAAACCCGAAATCACAGTTAACCTTAATTGTGGCATCGGCGGAGTTTTAATTGTGGCAAAGGTGGCATTTATTCCAAAAATGCCACTTTTAAGGAGGTATGGGTTATCTCCTTTATATCAATTTATTCATATGTGCTTCCAAATATATTTTTTCCAAAAAAATATTCGATAAATTTGAATTTGAATGCTTTAAATAATATTTTATGTTAGAAAATAAATTTATTTTAATTAATCATAAATTAAATTAAGAATATTAAAATACTTTGAAAAAAAAGAAAAATAATCAAAACAATTTAAGTCGTTTAATGTTCTATAAATGAAATAATAATTAAAGTTATAATATAATTATTATAAATCATTTTAACATAAATTTTTAACGTTTTGCAATGTGATTGTAACATTTTTGTAACATAATTGTAAAATATCAATCCATTTTTGTAACATGATTTAACAACATCATTGTAAAACGTTTTGTAAAATTTGTGTAAGGTAATTTTATTATCATATTCAGAAATCTTGTTTTTTAATTTTATTAAAAATTTCTATAATTCCTTCAAATAAAAAAATTTTCAAATGAATAATTCTTAAATCATATCAAAAAAATTATATTAAACTCTAATTTTACAAATATACAAGTTTGATTAAGAAAATTGTGTGAAACTAGATATGCAAAACTATATTTAATTTTTTTCTTCTACAATATACAAAAAATAAGATTGAAAAGGAAGTAATGTTAGCTTGTTTGAATTGTGATTTTAAAATTTTATATAAGTTATTAAATTTAATAAAAAAAATTTGTTGATTTTTAGAAAAACAGGCAATTTATATTTTTTCAAAAATTTAAAATTAATTATAGTTACATTATAAAATTTTGAAATTTAATTTATATAATACAACTATAATTTCTAAACACAAATTTTAATAATAATCATAACCAACTTATTTTGATGAAAAATTATATAAATCAAATTATGTTCATCATTTTGAGTCTAAATTATTAAAAATGTTATGATAAAATTGTTCATGATACCTCAAATCGATACCCTAAATCAAAAACCTTTAATGACAGTGGGTTCATGCACATGGACATGATGTTTAGGGTTTTAGTGCTACTATTGTACTACTTAGTGCAATAGCACCTAAGTAGTACTACTCATCGTGCTTAAACTATTATTTGTGTTTGTGTAGATGTAGCAAAAAAGAAATGAAAGACATTATGTCTGTCTCTGTTGGGGTTTTGCTCCCTCTTTTGTGATTTTGCTACAACATACATAAACATCACACAAGAAAAAGTAAGAACTAGTGATAAATTTGTTTATTTACTTTTTTAAGATATATAAAAGTCAACAAAAGCGCAATGCATCACATTTCATATAAACCAAATCAACATATACAATGTTCAATGTTGTTTTGTACTACTTTGTTTGAGAAATTCATGTTGTTAAAAAATAACAAGATAAACATAACCATGCAATTATAAAAATTATAGAATTAAAAATTAAAAAACTAGCAGAATGTATGCTGTACATATAACTTCTGAATGTAGAATTGATTGAAAATGATTTCTAATTTGTATAAAAAATAAATGATTATTATATCTGAAGAAGTTATTTAAAATATAGACTATCTAGAATTGTTACTTTTTATTGTTTGATTTTTGATATTTCAAAATATTGACTTAGTTGTATAATGATTGATTTGATAAAAATTAGAAAAACTTGACATGTAAATGATCAAATTCACGAATACGATGTTGTGATATTCATTGTCTAAAATTTCATGATGTAAATGGAAAATGATCTACTAAAATGCATTGCAGATTGCATAATTCTCTTGACAATAACTCATAACTATGATATTTTGAGCCAAATATGTTGATGAATTTTTGTATTAAAACATCATTGTTTTGTAGAATTATTATTCTTCAAATTCTAATAAATGCACGTTAAAGTATTAGAGTTTGGATGACACGTTATCTTATTAGTGAGCCACAAGTGTATATTTAATTGATCTTATTCATGAGAATGAATGTAAAGTGTACTTGAATATATTTTATAGATAGATTTTAATTGTTTATAAAAACAAAAAAAACATTGTAAAATTAGCTGAAATGTGATTTCAAGAAAATATTTTAGTGACATTGATACTACAGAGAGAATAAGGTTTGTTTTAAAACATTTAATGTTAATGATGAAGTTAAAACATTTAGAACAAACAATATCATATCTTCGAAAACGATCCAAGAATAGATATGTACAATAATAAGCTTGAACATGCAAAGGTGGTGAGAATGAACAACTAATACAAAACTATGTATATGCAATATTTCTAACAATCATGCATTTTGTATGCATTAATATCTTGATGTATACTTTTGTGTCAAAAATGTTGTTCCACTCAAAGATCTATATTTTAGTGATGTTACAAAAACACACATGGTCTGTTATTAAACAGCTTTTGATGAATATTGATGAAGAATAATATTGAGAAATAAATTGCATAAATAACTGATATTGGACAATAATATACTAAAAGATAGCTGCACAGTTGTGAGTAGAAATGTATGATTGATGTGCAATACATTCTTGATCAATATTTTCGTAACATTTGATAAAATCCTAATATGAAAATAAAACCGTGCAGAAGATATGTTCTGATTTCAAATGTCTTCTTCAAAGCTTCAAATGAGGAGATTTGTTATAAGAAGAAAAAGCATTGCATCTCGAAATGTTCACTCTGAAGATAGAAGAAAAAAACATGTGAGTCGTAAACAAGGTTGTATTTAAACATTTAGACACAATGATGATTTACCAGCCTCACGAGAGGTTTTTCACTTAGAATAAATGTAAGATTCGAAGGTGGACATCAATTCATGGCCACCTACATGGCAACCCAATTGGATGAATCTCTAAAATAGTTATAGTCTTCAATAAGTCTTTATAGCTTCACATTGTGGCGAACTGAAAATGACATCTACAAAGAGATATTGTATTAAGAGACGGTGATTCATGGTCACGGTGGTGCGAACAATTCTTCATAAAAACTCCCGATATTAATTAGTCTAATGTATCAAAAGTATAATTATTCAGGTCTGAATAAGCCTACACATGTTTTAAACCATTACTATCATAAAAGTTCTTAAACGCGGACTCCGATTACGACGATAAGTTTACTACAAGCGATATTCACAACCAGTGTATTGCATATGGTCGTTTTTTCTTAGTTTTTTTACATATCTTCCGATTGAGCTTCCTGTGTCTGCAAGTTATTCAGAACTTTTGCAATGCTTCAATTTTGACTGCATTTTGAAATTGGCTGGACCAGGTGCTCTGAGAAACTATAAACTGCCAATGCCTCTTATAGGCTAAACATGCGAGTTCACACACGGGATCCAGGAATAACCCCAGAGTTTAGGGTTAGCACACAAGTATAGCACCCAATATCGGGTCGGACCAGTGTTATGCCAACAATGGACCCACCAAAATATTGGGTGCCTCAATGCAGGACACGGCGACCCGACCGAATTAGTCGACTCGATTCGCAAAGACGACGACGGTAGGCAGCCAAAGCTTCGATGAAAGACTAATTTTTTCTTCCTGTACAGCGGCAGCAGTGATTCCAGGGCAATTTTACTCGACAGGATTTGAAATTGCCCAGCCTTACTAAGTCTTCCGAGAACAGCATTCCTTCTCTAGTGGTGCCATCGGAGCTGACGCAAAGCCATACAAGGTCAGAACATTTTCGAGGTTTTATCTCTTTAATTTTGTATGCGACATGATGGATATGAGAGATTTTACTTGAAATTCTGGTTTCGCTCTTGTTACGAGCTGAAATGAACGGTTTCCAGTTGTGGGTGTTGGAATTGTGGGCGTGCTGGGGCAAAAATGCTTACTTTGAGATCGATATTGCGCGCTAGAGGTTTCTACTTGTTCTACCGCTCGTTCAGTTTATCTCATTCAGTAGCCTGAACTCAAATGTCCGAGGTTCTTTTGCATCATCGCCTCATTTTTCTGGTTAGTCATATCCGTAAATACAGTTGTTTTGTGGAGTGTAATTTCAAGACAAAGCAACAGCTCAATCTTCAAATGATGTCTGAATTATGACCTAATGTCCTTTCTGGGTCTCACGTATACATTGGTATGACGATAGCAAGATACTGCCTGACATTTCGCTTGTTAGTATTCATGATGGAAAAGTATCTCATATGAATTTGATCAATGGTCTTCTCGAGAAGGTATGGTTGGTTTTTAATCTGGTTTGGTACTATAGCAGTTTGAAATGTAGCTAGGAAGACATCGTAAAAGCCAGATGTTTTTGCACCGGACTTTTTACGTTGATGGAAATGTCTGTTGAAGTGTGCTGCAAAATGATGCGGTAGCAGATAGTGCACATTGAAAGCGTGGGACATCTGCATCCGAGATTATGATGAGTCGGTGTAATTTTGTCTCCTTCATACTTGCTTCATCTCCGCGTATGAATTAAAATTCGTCCTAACTGTCCTGTGATAGCTCTATCTGCCATTGAGGGAAACGTTTATCAAACTACAGTCGAATCACCATTAATATCATTCGCCATCGCATGCGGATCGAAATGCTTCCTCCTTTAAAATCATGTGCATTATCGTAAACTAGTGCCCGACATCAAGGGAATCACTGTCATGACGAGGACGTTAAGGTTGCTTTAATCACTTGTCCTTAAGCATGACGAGCTTAACATAACTACCGAATTTCGTCTTTCTACGGTGTTTCTACATCGCAGAACATTGCATCCCTTCCGTTCCCCGTTTTCCTATAACGGTCACTAACCTTAAGTTAGTATTTTTTTAAAAACCTACGGACATCGAGAGAGAGAAAGAGAGAGCTTGTGTGCGTGTGTTTATGCATTAACTCCATGTAATTTGGATAATTCTTCTTGGAAACGATCTATGAACGCTACCTTCTGCTGTTTTGGCTGACTGAACTTAAAAGTTAGTCCATACGGGGACGAAAACAACGTAGAGGGAAGAATGGACACAATGGTTAGACTGTATGTTGATATTTTCCGCTTGATCTCTTCTGATTCGCATATGTCCATCTCCATACACCGCGATGTCTTGGGAGGCTGGGGGAAATCATAACGAGACTCCCGGTAAATACTCAGCGTCACTTTCTAGTGCTTAAGACTTATCAGTGTACTGTAAGGCTGAATACCGCAGTCTGTGACAGACGGGTGCATCTACTGTTCAAAGTTATAACTCGATAACAACGCGGCATCAGGCACATCCTAGCATCACCTTCACATATATTTTCTGGGGAGACTCAAGTGTTAAGATTATTAGAAAGAGTAGAAGCTATAAGAGAGCAGGAACTTCATTGCAGCTGTCCTGCTGATAAAATAATGTCGGGATTGGTCCCATCCAGGCAGAAAGGTTGAAAGCTTCGGCTGTTGATTATGGAAACGGGAGATATCCACGAGTTCCCGCTGATCAATGTGTTCGTACATTTAGATGTAGGAAACCGGCTTGATCAATGTTTTTTTGCTTTCCAGCTATTGTGTCAGCGAAGACTGGTTACCAACTCATGCTCTCTTGATAATCATTAGTGAAGACTATAGATCAAGAAGACCACCGTGTTTATATATTATGGCGGTACCATCTTTATCAGAGCTCAAGAAGACTCACTTTGATTCAGAGCTGAGTTTTTTGCTGTATTTGTTCTTTTAACTTGTCAGGTGCGCTATGGCGACGGAGGCGACCGAGGTGCCTTTAATTTTGTATGAAACACTGGCGCCTCTAGGGGAAGCTGACGATGATCAATCTTCGTTCCAGCTTCCTTTTAAAACATCGAATTCGAAGATTGTCGAAGACAATCCAAAGTCTGGGGCCGCCGTGAAGTCAGTGGATGTCGTCTCTAGTGATACATCATTTGTATCAGTCAATGTGCGTCAACAAATTAGACGTGGATTTGAGGAGAATCTAGCGCTATCTGTTCATCAGAGTAATGAGAGCAGAGACACTGGTGCTAGTTCTGATAATGAGCAAGAAACGGTTGTCTCAGCAAGGGCCACAAGAGAACTGAAAGATGTTTCAAGTTTTACTCTTGAAACTGTCGAAAATCAAATGGAAGTCGTGGAGCTTAGCAGTAGCAGAGATGATGAGGAGATTGGTTTCCTGTCCTTGGAACCGGAGGATTCTGTCGACACCCACCCGGAAGACCAGGGCCGGATAAAGGCAGAGCATGACTTAATTCTGTTAGAGAGTGTAAATCGGGCACCCAAAGAAGTGCCACCTTGGGCTCGTACAGGAGCGACACATGGAACTTGGTTCAGAAGTCCCTTTTTGCAGCTACACCAAGGTTTGACTGATCTTTAACGCCTCTATTTGAGCTAGTCAATTGAAATAAACATACAACGAATAAGTTAATCCATATACTATGTGACCTTACTGGAGTGCTGGTCTCTTTGTCCTGACAATTTAGTCCAGAGCCTCAAAATGTGTCACAAAGAGTTTTCCCCTATTATTTCAAAGTCCAATCATCGACAGGAAACGACTGGAAAGAAAGTTGTAAACCAGAGCATATAGTATCCTGACACTCTTCCAAAGTATGCTAGAGGATCCAGGACGACATTGTATTGTGAGATCTCTCTAACATTGTACCTTTAACGTCAGTATTAGTCAAAATAGAAAATTCTCAAATGCTCAATTGTTCACAAAATGAAGTGGCTGACTGACATTGCTGCAACATGGCCTATCTCAGAGATAGTCGACTTTTGTAACTTTGTTACTCCAACGGAGAAAGAGCAGAAAATACGAGATGATGCAGTTCAACGCGTAAGAGAAGTCGTTATGTCGATTTGGCCTTCTTGCCAGGTTAGTCATATATTTGTAATCAGTGTTACAGCGGAGACATGCAAGCCTCCTGGTTGTGGACCTTATTTTGTGTGGATGACCTTAAGGATTCCAACTGTTGAATGTCAGTCATCTGCGAAAGCGTGGAAGCAAACATGAACGGTCAGCAGGAAGAGTTCGGATGCGAGCATAATGATTTCTGTAACTGGATCTGTTGTTGAACCTTGCGATGTGATAATACATACAAACTTTTGCGCATGTTTTAAAGGGCCTGTTGCTGTGTTCGTGTTTCCAACATCCAAGACGCTTAATCTAGATCAGGCATTGGTGATGCCTTCAGTTCACGGTCACTTGAACTTGACAATGATTAAATCTAATAGACCTCGAGTTGCAATATGAAGTAATATATGTGGCTGAGCATGGCTCGTATATGACGTAGGGACGCTCAAATTCAATTTGACTAAAGGCTTGTTCTTGTGTGCCAGGTCAAAGTGTTCGGGTCGTTTGCCACTGGGCTGTATTTGCCGACGAGTGATGTTGATGTAATTTCCTGGCTTCACAAACTATGGCTTAGTACTGAGTATTATCTGCCTTGGAGTTTCGTATTCATTGTCGTTCATCTGTTGTTCCTCGATATTATGCCTCGATATCTCCGTCTTCCCAAATACACGACAAGTGATCGTCGTTATTCTGCTAGGTCTGCATTTGAGTGGGATCTTGACAATTTAGCTGATGGCTGGTTCAGGTAGTCATCTTGGAGTCTGGGTGTCAAGTACCACAAGATGGACTAAAAGCTCTTGCCAAAGCTTTGAATCGGAAGAATCTGGTGAAAAATCTCCAGGTAGGTTGAAGTGATCAGTTGTTTTCGTGGTCTTCAACAGCATTATGTCGGTGATTACTTCATCCGCATTGTTCCTGACTTCTTGTCTTGCTGCTTTATACAGGTAATTGGGAAGGCCCGCGTGCCCATTGTGAAATTTGTAGAGGCAGATAGCAACATACCTTTCGACATCAGGTAACACTTAGCTATCTCCAGTATTGCCATTATATTTGTGGTAATGCTACTGTGTGTTTTTTAACTGGCCCTGTAGTTGGGTAAAGACTGCTGAACGATACTTACGTAATGTGAAGTGGATCATTATTTATGAAAGCCCTTTGTCCTGTTGGTTATTTATGTGCAGCTTTGACGTGGCAAATGGTCCCGAAGCAGCCGATTTTATCAGGGTATGCTTGCTGGAAGACTTTAGCCTTTCGAGCTATTATCTGTTGTTACTACCGGGGGTTTAATTGGCTTAGGCGAGACAAGGCTGACTTGATATTTTTCATTCAGTGTTGTGGAAAGACGTGTGGTAATTGCTTTCTGACAAGGCTAGTCGGTCTAACTTTAACGATATTAGAATGAAAGCGACTTTCTCTGATGATCTTTATCCGTTACCGTCAGCTTGATGTGTAGTCTTCCTTGTATTATATAATCCTAGCGCTTCTACTAATATTGCTTTTCCGTTGGATTGGCTCCTTGATCTGTGGGGTTGACTGACGATGAATGCCAGGACAGATTAGTATGACTGAAACTTCATGCGGATTATGTTAGGGTCATATGCGAACTCCATATTCTGTAGGAGATATTCTTGTCACTCTGTAATGGTTCTAACTCTTGCTAATCTACTCTTTTATCTTGCTTGAAGCTTCCTGACTTCTGGAGTCCTTCTTTCAGTCTTGGCTGTGCGCGGTGTCTATAATAGCAAGGAGACTATATGTTTGGCAGTAATCCGCACAGCTTGTGACCTACTTTATGCTCTTTCTTATTGGGCTGGGGGTTGTGTTACAGGAAGCAATGATCAACCTTCCACCGCTGAAACCTTTGTGTATGGTGCTGAAAATATTTTTACAACAGCGAGAACTTAATGAGGTATATCGCTGAGTCAATATAGAATTCGGTATAATGATGTTTAGGAAAAGTGATGATTGCGCGTGCCGAATTCAGCAAGAGTGTGGTTTTGTGAAAAAGTCGGTTCTGAGGAATGGGCTCCACTTCAGGTTTATACTGGTGGAATTGGGTCGTACGCCTTACTCGTCATGCTCCTCACTCATCTACAGGTTCGTTTTCCTGCAGGTCTTAGCAGTGACTTTTGGATGCTTTACTTGCTCCTGCGATGAACAGAAATTTCATAATCTATGCTATTTCTTTGCGTGTGTTATCACTCCTACATGCTGATAGCACCAAGCCTTTAGATCAAACCTTGTAATGAACGTTGAGGAGGCTTCAATTGAGATTGACATTTGTCCACTCTTGCAGATGCACCCAAGCCGGAAGAACTTTAACAGCCGAGGTGAACCTTGTCCGCTCGAAAGTAATCTAGGCGTACTTTTGGTAAGGTCCAAGAATACATCTTATGCCGAAGGGATGTGTGTTCGGACGAACTTTCGTACGATATAGCTGCTTATGCTTTACATGTGTTTCACTTGAGATGTGACCGGCCAAACTGGAAGTAGTTATGTTTCGTCCGAAAGTGTAGAGGTTTCGTGAGTTTTATTTTTAAACAAATGGAGGTCTGGCGCAGCAGTAATTAACTGCAATATATTTTCACCTTTTCTGCAAGATCCCTAATTTTTTCTGTTTCCATAAAGCATGCTTGCGCTCAATTCCTTTGGTCGCAGGTCGACTTTTTTGACTTCTATGGACGTGCTCTCAATGTAAGAGATGTAGGTATATCTTGTCGAAGTGGGGGAAGATTTTTCTGTAAGAGGTCTCGAGGGTGAGTCTTGCCCCCTTTATTGGCTCAAAGAAGTGTTCGTGATTGAGTGGAGAGTTTGAAAGAGAATTCAAGTACAGATGTTTTTGCTACTGTCTGTTACCTGCGTTAATGCATTGCAAACATGTGTGAACTGAGTGCTGCTGTCATCGTTGCTTCGCTCAATGAAAGAACAGAAGCAACTTCACCTAAGGCACACTAATTTTGAAGTTTCTGCCCATTTAAAGTGAGGTGTACATGTAGTCATATGTCCAGAAGTCTTTGCGGTTTTTTTTGTTTGTACTTTTATGTAGGCAGTGTGTGGTATGCTGACTTTGTGTTAACTGCTTCTCGCAGATTTGCGGACAATGGTCGGCCTTTCCTTCTCTCTGTGGAAGACCCTCAGGTATGTGGATCTGTCTTTCGTATCTTTCAGGACTTTGTTCTGCTAAACAAAATTGATATAATCTAACCTAGATGTTGAAGCAATGTTACACTCTCTTCCTCTCTGAGCAGCCGGCTGGGAAGCCGAATTGAGGTTTACATGATTTCAAAGTACATTAGTTATGGTCCAAAGCTCCTGATTAGAGTTGTGGATGGCTAAGCCACCTTGTGGACAATGGATGACCCTTTTTTTTTGCGATCGCAGAAACCAGACAATGACATTGGCAAGAATTCTTACAACGTTACAAAGGTGATTTAAGCCAATCTCCCTGACATGCCAGGAATTGTAACTGCGTAACGTAGGATGTCTGCGTCTGGACGGTGCAAGCTGTTATCTTAGCGTTGAGTAATTATCTCTTGTAATTGATATATCTGAACACGAGTGAATACCTTTTGAGAGCGCTGAGCTCATAGCTGAAGCTGTTAAAAAAATTGGAAAGTAGAGATTCTCGCTCACATATGCTGCGTTGATGCCATCCAGGTCCGGTCTGCATTTGTGCTAGCGCATCGTTTACTGACAAAGTTGGAAGTTGAAGACGTTCCTGAGCATGTGGGCTTGCTGGGGCGCATCGTACGCATGGATAACGTACTGACTACAAGAGATGTCGTTCTTCCGGAGTTGCCACCAAGGTTGCCCTCGGCAAAGAAGTTGTCAGGGAACCCATCTTCTTCTGGAGTCTCCTCTGAGAAAGGAATTCTAACCCCAGAAGTCGTCGGTAGATCCCGGTGGCATGAAGATGAAGACTTCCCCAGAGGTGGTGATTCGGAAAAGCTGTCTCGCAAAAGAAAGCGTGCAAAGGATCGGGCGGAAAAGATCTCCAAAGAAAATTCTTTACCTTCACCTGTTATAATGCGTACACACAAGCGCAAGAGGGGTGAAGTACCACAGGTTAGCGATACCCCAGGCTCATCTTCTGTCAGGGGTCGAAAATCTAAGATCAGAAAGGAGTTGGAAATTGCTGATCCTGTTCCAAGCAGCAGCCGTGAAGTGAAACTATCTGTTAAGGAAAGGCTTGGCCCCATTGAGAAGCCACTTGGAAAGGGGAAAAGTGCCAAACAACCAAAGGTGTCCAAAAGAGATTTCATCGACCTGACAGAAGATGTAGAAGAGCAGTCCACGCACGTTAGAAGTAATAAGCGATCTAAGCGACACCAAAGAGAGGACTCTCACGAGGAAGGTGAAATTACGTTGGAAGATGATGCTACATTCGGTCGCGTGGGCAACAGGCGTGACTTAGCTCAAGAAGATGAGGTAGATGTTGGTGCCGGTAATGGCCACAACAAACACAAACGGTGGTTCAGTGAAACCAAGGTCAGAAATCGACAGAGAGGTGAACAAGCCGAGGAGGTTATAACTAGAAACGGCAGAATCAGTAGGAAGATAATGGTCACGAATGCCCACAAGAAGATAACGTTTTCTTAGTATGCCTGCCACCCCCACGAAAGGGCTTCATCAGGGTGCTCGTGGCCGATTATGAAGTTCACATACCTGTCCGTCTCCCAGTGTTTTCTACTCTGGCTTACTCGGGAAGAGGATGCTTTACACGATCGTAGGAAGGATCCGTTAGTTCCGTTATTTGGAGCAAGAAAGAGGAGCAACCTTGTGATGTCTTCAATTTTCATTTCACACACCTGCCGAGTATGAGTGCATTGTTGAAGGGCAAAAGAGATTGACTGGGCCATCTCCGAACTGGAGACAGGTACTTCCTCCAAACCCATTATCTATTCCCCACGTTTGTCCAGTTGAATAGTTGATTGGTTGATTAGCCATTGAGTACTTGAAAGCTAGAACTTGGAAAGGTGGGAACATTGGAACTTGCGCTGTCTAATTCGTCCGATTAGTGTGTGGTGACATGAGTCAATTTGAAGTATTTCTTGGTTGAAATATTTCCTAATCTTTCTTTTTGTGATGGTATCTGAAACAGGAGAAACTGTCGTGTTTGCCTCTGTCTCTCCCCACAGCACTGAGAGGCTATTGTGCTCCAGCAACAGCAAGTCCATGAGTCATATCAATGGAACGGGATGCGCTAGAACAGAGGACTAGAGAGAGCTTCCTTCATGTCTACTGAGTGAAAAATCTAATGATAGGTGTATCCAAAGATACTGCCAGCTGGTGCAGCCAAACAAGTCTACTGCACATCAGTGGAGAACTTGGATTGCAAGACGTGTCTCAGGACTCGGTCTAATCTGTGCAAGCGAGAAAAGGGGACTATCTTTTTAGATCAGAGAAGCTGCAACAATGCTGAGCTGAGAATGAAGGCTCTTCTCTGTGACACCAAAGGTTGGTCTAAGAAATTTTTGTACATATGCATGAGTTAGGAAAAAACTATCCGGAAAAGTTTCTCACGGAATTGGTGAGGTCTTTGTCTTCTTTGGTAACTACTTCGACCTTACGAGGATGAAGTATCTTCCTCAAAAGAGTCTCGTGAGTTCTTTTTGCATTACCATCTGTCGTCATGACTCTGTCGCCTCACTCTGTTACCAATCTGCACTCCACGAAGTCCATACGCACTTGAGTTCGGAGTCACTATTGACGTTGCAAGTGCTGTTTAGGATAGCATTATCTGGGCTTGTACGTTCAAGTCTTATTCCTTGTGAGCTTGTGGGATATTCATCTTTGCTCGTGGGCTTGTATCTGCAAGTCAGCATTACAGGAATCCTACCTTGGTACTAAAAGAGACGCAACAGCCGTTTCATCTGAGCTTTTTGGAGAAATATATCTAATGTCGTAAACTACACAATTCGCCCACCCTTAGTGGATGTGGAGAATATCTTTTGGCTTGAGTAATATGTTGGTGCATTGTGAGAAATGGTGTCGAATATGGCCGCATTTTTGAAAGTGTCAATGTATGTGTTGTAGGTGTAGAAAGCTCGAACGAATAGATTACGTAACGTTGGACATAATTTTTTTTCACTTTCTCCCGGACACCTCATGCAGTTAACAGACGAAGGGGATTCCGGACAAATGAAATAGACGTTTGTGAAAGTTGACATGGAAAGGTGACTTAGAGCAGTCACATCATGATGTTATGTGCAGAGATCACTTGCAATGGGCAAGTGATCAGTCTAGATCCAATAAAGCACCTGTCTCCTGTCGCCCATCATTTCTACTTGTGTCAGCAACATTTATTTATTCTTGTTTTCTACTCCAGGAGGTGAAGTGTACGTGCCTTGACGTGAATTAGCCAGTGATTGACGCGACAGTTTGTGCAGGAAACAATCGCTAAATTGAATCCGTAGATTGAATCCCTCCGTGTAACTGATTGCATTGTCTAGGGTAGAAACTGAGCGGGAAATGCATGTCGCTCTCCCTGTTTTCCGGAAAGAGATAGAACCAATCTGAAGTAACAACGACCGAATTAATTCTACCAAACTGCCAAATAGCAATAATCAACCGAGGATTTTAATGCATCAATCGATTTCAACACGAATATTCTCATGGCAAAAGATCAATTTAGTTTCACTTGTGCACTGAGATTCTCAACTAATGACTTCAAAGGACAAAGTATGTTAACCTCAACATCGAACTTAACGTTTACTAGGAGTGTGGTCTAGTAAAATCAGGTTATTCTCGTGTGCATTTTGACTGAATCTGATCAACAATAGATTTTCTCGTAACGAAAACATGAATTTTAATGTAAATGTGATAGAGACTAAAGTAATCAATAATAGCGTGCAGATGTCATCCGTATGCAAAATAGATTCATTTTTATTCCATGCCATTTCAATACAATATATACTGTGTTATTATTTTTATTATCATTATCCATTTCATTTTTTGTGAATCCATGGTATAAAATATATCATCACAGTTAAAATCATTGTTGACATTATATTTTCTATTAAAATATCTTTTTTATATATCCATTCAATCATTAATTAACGAGGGTATAGATTGTTTAAATTATTAGAAACATATATGAATGAAAATCTAATTAGAAAATTTATATGTGAAAACCAAATGTAATGCTTTGGATTATGTTCACATAAAACACAACAAATTATACTTCAAATTTAATTTCTGTTAATGAAATTTTTGTGAAATTTTTGTAAACTATGAGATATTAACTGCCTGAGTTTATTAAGATTTAACTTAGGCTTTCAATTATCTCAAATTACCTTAATCAAAATTTCTTAGATTAGTTAGACTCTCATTACGTACAAAATATCACAAAACTTCTTGATGACACATTTTGATGTAATTTGTATATTAAATCTGAGGTAATCCATGGAGATAATTTGCAATAATAAATCACATATATCTAGTGTGAAATGTAAGTGTGATTTTTTGTATCACTTGTATGTGTGTGAGAATGTATTTCAACTTTTCTTAAGTCACAAAATCGGGTATAAGTACATAAAAATTAACTAAAAATTGATTTCATCTTGAAAAGCTATTTTAAATTCATGTCTTATGGTTTGTGAACTCTATAATAAATATAATTGATCAAAGAGAAGTAATTTAGTAAATAAATAAGAATAAATTAAATTTACTTCATTCAATTAAAAAAAATCTAAAAATTTATAAAAAATATATTTCTTTGTTAATTTTTACAAATTTTTCCATAATTTTCATAATTCTAAATAAGAATCATATAAATTTACATTATTATCATATTAATTTATCAATCAATACAAATTTTCAAGAACAATAAAAACTAATCTCAACGATAAATCTTCATTTATAACACACAGATTTTTTCAAACTGGCTGGTGATTATTTTTTCATAATCCATTATTTGAAATGATTTTAATTTTAATCATTATCACAGATGATATCTATAATGGGATCTATATTCATTAACATTAATCTCGAAAGATATCACTGATTTCTATGGATAAACTAATATATCACAATTTCACGCTTATTTATTTCTTATTTTGACTCAAAATCCTTTCTCATTATTTTATTGGAGTTATTTTCCCATAGTTGACAAATAGACACACCAAGTACTGAGTTCACGATTTCTGAGAATCAAATATGTTTGGACGTAATTTTGGAGCTCAGAGTTTGAGTATATTCTGTTTATGAATCAGGAATGTATCACACGTGTTTCAGGTGATACCCTGAAGCCCAAAGGAGATATGTCGGTAAATTGGAGCACTTTAAATTTTGTGTTTCATTTAAATCCCTGAGATCCTTCGACTGACTGATACTTTAAATTTTGTTAAGATTCAGGTGAAGGTGCTATGCACGAGAGAATGTTCGCCAAAAAAACATGATACCAGAAACGTGATATCGGTGATGTCATGTTTGCTCATATTCTCAATTTGCTTGCAGAACACTCTGTTTGACATGTTTGATTAACTACTGATTTGAATCCTCACAGAGAAAGCACTCCACGTGTTTTCTTTGAAACGAGAAGACCGTAGCATACACATGTCTATATCACTACACGTACGCACTACCATACTATCTAAAACAAATGTATGTATTCAAAGAGAAAATTTAAAGAAATGATTGCGAAAAGCTCTACTTTTTAGCGTTGGACTGTTCTGCCTTTTCAACGCATAATGATTAAGAACTCCCCGAATCCCAGCGAAGAAAACGTGCAGATGATTGAGATTCAGCACCCTACGTATACCTAGGCCTGATAATTGGCGACCATGACACTTGAGATTTACGTTAGATTCGGAATGTTTGTACATGTCACAAGTAGACAAATACTGCATTTTAGGATTCCATAGAGATCTCATCACATAAGATTCCGATGTGGCTTTGATAACTTAATGCGCAAGCCCGTAGCTTGCGTTGCATGAGGCAGAATTTGACGGATCTAAGTTGTTAGTATTCTATAAACGTGTGAAGTTCTCAAAATAATAGTCTATATTCCGTAGAGCCACAAGTGAACCTCACGAAATGTTGTTCCCTAAGTATTGCCGCCCTATACCTACCATGGCTTAAGCTACTTGCGAGAGTCGAGTACATTTACAACGCAGGCCAGTATTCATCCGAGACCATGTGTTTGTCCCGCTTTTTCTTCCCTGTCTTATTGCATACTTCAGAATGAGACTTTTACATGGGAGTTTGAAAAGTGGTGTATGCTAGAACTACGCAAAATCGCCCCCCCTTTTTTCTTTATTTTTTTTTTATTTTTATCAGAGCCAGGGCATAGGCTCAAATCGGCCATACAAGAGGACACTTAGTATAAGATCGTATGATATAATATGGGATTTGGGGTCGTGAAAACCTTTCCATGCTCCAAATGAGAGGCCTGGTCGAGGGGTCCTCATGAACACCTACCATGCACGAAAGTGCATACATTTGGAATCGAGCAGCTGAAGAAAGATGGGCATGAATATGGTGAAGGCTTGAGTATCATGCGAGAAGAAGGAAGGCGAAGACGGCGAATCCCTTGAAGATGGGGACGGGGAAGGGGGCGTCTGAGGTCATTCATTCCCTCGTTCTCCCTGAAGCCTGGAGGAGGAGCTCAAGCTCGCCCACCTTTCCATACGGTCTTGCAATGCCTGCGCTCTCGCAAGTGATGAGAAGAACTGTCTGCGGCCACGATCGGATGTCAATGCCGCATGTAGCACCGAACAGGGAGCGGCAAACATACCGTTACCCACGTGGGCAGGGCAGCATTCGCAGCCTCCGAAAGCGGATCGGAAACTCGAATGGGTGCTGCTGCTGCTGCTGCTGCAGAAATGGATCGCTCGTTTCCGAGACCATGAGGAGGAATGAGATCGAGCTTCGCGTCCGTGAGAAGCTAGCAGCGAAGCACAGCAGGGTGAAGGGAGGGCCAAGGCTCGTCGCGAGCGGACGATGGCGCCAGATGCACCGAGCACGCCATCGAGAGGAGGGAAGGGGCCCCCACAAGGAGGAGGAGGAGGAGGAGGAGGCCAGGGTTGGGAGGAAGGCGACAGGAGGACGGGTGTGAGAAGAGGAGCGATTCATTGCGCATGCATATGCAGGTCCAGGAGAAGAACACAGGGAACAAGGAAGGCGGGATCATGCAGGGCTCGAGCAAATCTCGGAGGGCGGAGATATGGATGACCGCCGCGCACAGGGCGCCGGTCGCTGCTGAGGCGCGAGCGCGCCACACGCCCCGACGAGGCGAGGCTACGAGGAGGCTGCGAGGGCTCGCGCTCAGGTGTCCGCATCATGCACGCTTTGTTTGTCCGACCGAAGCGCTTTACGGCGTCCAGACCCATGAAGGCGCTCGCAATATTCTGTGCCAGCTCCGAGCGCCCTGGCGAGCCGGCGTGAATCTGCGCCCATGCATGCACGACAAGTCTATCTAGCCGCGCAGCGCTTGCGAATCCTGGCTCTCCCCCCCCCGCTCTCGGTCTCATCCTCGCCGCTGCTGCTGCTGCTGCTGCTGCGGCCGCTGTTGTAGATAATGGCTCGAGCGCACGCACGCGTGTGATTTCCTCTCCTGGACGAAAAACATGAGCGCGCACGGGCACTCGCCACTGTGGCCCGTGACTTTGGCGGAGTTTGGCAGCCATGGATGCATCGCGCTCGCTCGCAGGCGCCGAATCCGGCGCACTCGCGTGTGGCCGAGGCCTCGCCCAGGTCGCATCCGGCCTGGCTCGGGCGCTCGCTCATTGATGAGCCTCGGGGCCGAGATGTCCCCTGCATGTTTTTCGCCGGGCTCATCCCATCCGGGCTCTGTGCTCTGGACGCTCGGGTGCAGCGCAAGGTTTCATGAGCCAGGGCCGGAGCGATTATTGAAATGATTGCAGTCGTTGGGTTCGTCATGGCCTCCATAGGGTTTCGCCCGCAGGCAAGCGACGGCACGGGCCGAGAACTCACCCCGCATCCCGAGACACATCCACGACGTGTTGTGCAGCGTCGATGCTGCGAGGCTAATCGGGTTTCTGGCGCTCGACCCGAACCATTGCATGCTCTTGCGAGTGCAAAACGTGCGCGAGATTTCCAGGCTTCGGCCCGGGATATTCTTCCATCTCCAAACATTCCACCCCCCATGGACGACCTCCCGCGGACCCCTACTGTCTTGGCCGAGCTCGACTTGAATGCGAGCGAATCTTCTCCCGCCCGAATTATGTCGACTGATGTTATGTTGCTACGAGCGCTGGCGTCAGTGACTCGAATTCTGATGCAATCTTCGCAACAGTTGCAGGCGATCTGCATTCCTTCACTGCCTCATGCGCCCATCTTCCCTGGACCTGATGCATTGTGTGAAGTTCTGCAAGCCTCCCGCCCCCGGTCGGTTGTTGAGTCGTAGACTCCCCGTCAATGGACCACCACCATCAGCAGCTGATCTCACTGCGCTATCAGGTCCCGCACCCCCCGATCCAATCCTCTTATGCTCAGGCTGAATCACCGCCCGAGCGCTTGCTCGGTCCTGTGACAAGAATCATGGACTCGTCGTCGTGTATCGATCCTCAAACTCAGACTCCGATTTCTCGTCGTTGCCCGTATAGACAGCAGAAATAAAAAATCAATTTCCCGCAAGTATCATCATGCGCAGACATGATAGTGGAATGTGATGGGGCCAACCCGATGGCGCCCGTCAGTCATCGTCATCGTCATCTGATTTCTGAATTATCTCAGAAATCAGATCCATGCGGTGCAGAGTCATAACATCCTCGTGCACTCTTTCTCATCAGATGTGCGTGCGTGCTACGAGAAAAGACGGAAGGCAACGACTCGGCCCGAATTTTCGCCCGGACCCAACGTACATGATGAACGAACGTATCGAGGTCCGAAATCTTTCTCCGGACTAGGGTCAGGGTCAGGGTCACGGCCAGAGTGGAGTTCGGTACGGTTTCTCCTCCACAGGGACTGCCAAACCTTACCACGTAAAGAGTTACTATGTTTAGCAGTTAACTGTGTCGAGCTAGCGTACACACACTCACTGCTCAGAATCACTAACAGGATCGACAACATAGATAGAATACAGAGCTTCAAGTCGGGAGCAACCACAGTAACCGTAACCGTAACCGTGGCTCGACCCGACTCTGTTCTGAGCTCAGCTCGTCGAGTGTGGAATCCTCCTGAAAGTCGTCGGGTGGATCTTTCTTCAGGCAATCGCAAAATAGGAAGGAGATTCGCGATCGGATTGGTCGGACTCGCGTGAAGGTAACGTGTTGGGTTGTGGGTATGGAGCTGAACTATGAGCCCGGTGGTGGTAACAGTGCGGGAGCCACTGTGGAAATAGATCACCAACTCTTGCAGCTTCGATCGATCGATGGATGCACGTGGAGTGAAGTGAAATGAACTGCGAGTACGAGTACGAGCGGGAGCACGACACGTACGTGGAAATTCGTCGTATCTCTGAGTTGGGATGTATTGCGAGCTCTAAAGATCTGGCAGTCAGAGGCAGAGGCTGCCAAAGTTGCCGAACGAGCAGCGAGCTGTCAGCCGTCTTATGTTTGACATTTGTTGTTGTACATCAGGGGAGGGGAGGGAAGTCAGAAGCGGGTGGGAGTATATTGGTTGACACGGAGGAAAGGGACGAGGCAGACAGAAGCACGCAGCAGGTGGCAACATTGCCAAATATGCTGTGAGCCGTCGTATCATTGACATTCACCACTACTATGATCGTAATGGGGGCCGAGATGCGTCGCCATTGACATTTTCTCTCGCGTGCACTTTGCCATCGGAAGATTGTCTTTCGTCAAATGTCAATGTCCGTCGTTGACATGGAGTGCAAGGTCTAAATGAAAGTTTGCCATTGACATTCTTTGCCTCTTCGCTCTTGCTTGCAAGATGAGGAGGACCATGATCAAGCATGGCAGCTTACCAACTCCCCCAGTCTACAGTAGAGCATATCAACAGTTGACTCCGGAAAGATCTTCTCAAAGATCTGAAGAATTGACTTACGAACCGAGACAACTCTCGACGAGCGCTGCATGCATGCGCAGGGTCGGTCCAGTTCAGAACACTGTTGGAGGTGGCAAAGCCTCTGACACCCAGATCAAAACTCTGCGATCTTGACTTTCACCATAACCCGAACGCCCTTTCCTGTAGATGATAGAAGCAAGATCGATAGAGAGCAGCTTGAACTCTGGGGAGGGCGTTTCTGAAGAATAGCTCCCTTTGTGCCCACTACTTCCCAAGTGACAACGGCCAACTACACCACCTCACCCTCAGTTCGTATGAAAAGTCATTGATTGGGATCATCTCGGATCATCTGGTGAATGCTAAGCTTTATGAATACTTGATGTCGTCCATGACCATTGTCTGTTCTCAAGAGACAAAAAGCGGCATATGTTCCTGTGAGTGCAATCGAGTGTTGTGCTTTTGTATCAGTGAATGCTCGCTACGGAATCAGATATCATATATCATCCCTTGTGAGTCGAAGTTTCCGTTCAAGAGATTGGAGCTTTCCACCGAATTCCTCCTCCTCAGCGCCATAGCAGTGAAGAGGAGTAAGTCGGATTTCAACCAGAACAGTGATCATCGACGGGGACTCGACATGCAAGAACTTGCCACAAAAGCCAGCGCTTGCCAGTGGCGGAGGAGTCCTGTGAGGCCTGACGTTAGCCCTAGGCTTTATGGGCAGAGAAAGATATCCCATCAAGCGTGTGATTCGCTACTATCTTGTCTAGAGCAGCCAACCCAAACATCAAACAAATATCCCAAACATGCTTCACCGAAACGTCAACTTATCATATCCCGACTCAACCAGCTAAGACTGATCCTACACCGCCCTCGCGAAGTCAAAATGTCCAGCTCTCAGGAGCATTCATCTATCCACGACACCTTTCACCGCTGGTGACAGCAGCACAGTTCTGGAAGCACCTTGACAGATTCTTTAGATACTGCTAACCACCTACCGACCTGGAACCAAATCTCCTTCAACAGGCGGTTATTTGATACTGGTGTCCCAAAAGCTATAGGATATGAATTGCCTGTTCCAGAGATCCAGAGAGAAGTCGGTTCGATGTGGGGTTTCACTCCGTGACCGAGTGTGTATGTGGGCTAAAAGGGAGCGATGGCGAACGCCTATGTATGGAAGGCGTTTACCTTCCATACATAGGTCTTACGACGCCCCATTTCGTCCATCCCACGATCGAAAAGCTTTTGGATTATTTATAAAAGGCTCCAGCACTTTTAGACATCCAATGAGTCCGGAACCATGCAGCATACCCCCAGCTCCGACTGCACAATGAGGTTGTAAAAGATGCCCATTCGATCGAAAAGTTTCTCCCAAGGATAAGATCGGAAATCGCATCTCCAGGACCGAAAAACAAGACTTTTCTCCTGTGACCAGCTACATCTGAGACCGGATGCATTCCACTCAGGGAAGGCAATAGTCGCACCGTAGCAGAAAACAGCCTCCTCCACCCGCTGCAATGAAACCATGAAACGTTACAGTTGGCGTTAACCGAGAGCGGTGTGGCTCGAGAGGAAATGGTACCAAGCCTACCGACCCCTGCCTCTGCCTCGGGACGGGCGCATCCCGAAGCTAGGTACAGTTCATGGGTACGGTATGACGTCTGTACGGGAGCAGACACACTAAATTAGAGGAGCTCGTCGCAAAAGTCTCACCGAATTGTAATCACGGGGTGGGCACGCTCTTACTGCAGGGCTGCAGGCTCTAGGCTCTAGCCCACCCTTCGCCTTGCTCTTCGCCTTCCCACGGTCCTGGTGCTCGTCACCCGCGATCCCTTCGACTGCAGCAGCAGCAAAGTTCGGCGGTGTCTTCTTCTCTTGGCAACAACAACCTTTTCAGATCTGCTGGTCTCGTGTCCTAACACCTGTCTACGAGTGCTCTAGTGCACTCCACTTCCGTTCTCCTCCATAGCCATAGCATATTAGGTTGCCATAGCATTGCATAGTATAAGCAGCCAGACGTACAAAAATTACATGCATGCATGTCCAGCCGTAAACGCCAATGCTCACTCATGTGCTCTTCTTCTATCCTGACCTATTATTGTCTGTCTCTTTCTACTGCCCTGAGTTCGAGTTTGCTGCACTTCACGAAAAGGAGCAGAACAAGCGAGCGCCACATCAAGTCCATATGTACTACTGTTCTAGTATTGCGTGTGATAAGTGGTGGTATTGAACTTGCTCTGACATCCAATTGAACCATAGCTGCAACAGTCCACCAACATGGAGGGCAAAATGTTGAGTGAAACATGGCCGAAACACGTAGTGTGGGCGGAAGTACGAATGAAGTTTACGGAATTCATTTCCGGACACCATCCTTTGGGAAGATCCGTCATCAGTGCGAGGAAGCTGGCTACCTCATATATATATATATATATATATATATATATATAGAGGGAACACGTGAGCTAAGACTTGTGAGCTTGAAGATCTTACATTACCTGGTGAAGTAACTTGAACCACCTGAGTAGTTGTATGATGATTTTTTCACGTGTCTTCCAGTGATAAATTTTATGAGAATTGCAGAATTCTCATAAGTCTGTCAGAATTGTTGCCCTAACAACCACACCCAAGCATGTTCAATTCAGCAAAGAGTCAATCAATACAAAGCCTCCATCGGTTTAGGAAATCCATGCATATCAAGAAGGCAGGTTGTTCCTGGTCAATGATGCCAACTTTGCGTCATGACGATGAAAAAAAACAGTTCTCAACAAGTGGCCAGAATTGAAATTGTGGCTGCAGTACAAATAACGGTAAATGAGATGTTCATATATTGCATTCGTTAGTAAGGGCTCTACATTGAAAGTCGGCCGGAGAAGTGTCCATGATTTGCCCGAAGTAACATACTCATCCAAAGAACCAATACTCACCCGGTGGCGAAGTAAAATTTGATGCTTCTGTGTTAATCTACAAGGAGAACGTCGGCGAAAGGTCTAACCTTTCGTACAGAAAAGTCGTACTAGAAACGTGGACGAAACGAAATTAAAACTAATGCACCTATGCTTGATGGTTTTGGTGATGATTATACGTAAGGATGTTGAATAAGTAAGACTAATCCTCGTTTGCCGAGTCACGAACAACTAGACGCCGTGATGAAGTTAAAACTGTCTGAGGAGGACTTGACCTCTTCGAGAATCCGTGATCACAATAAACTCATGTGCTAACTGAAGGCATGTATAGACATGACAATGTGACACTATAGAATAGTTGTATGAATGTTGGAGATGCCAAAAATACCTCCTAGCATTGAATGAAGACAGACAAGTGTCAGTCTAGATTCCCCCATCTTGAATCATTATGAGCTTCAAGCTCACAACGCCTGTCTGGGTGGGTCTGTCATGATGTGGATACAAGCTCGTTTGGGTTACATACATCAGGACATAACTAGGCCGCCGTGCTCCAAGACCATTCCCTTTCGTGTCCAACCGTACAAAAAATCATATCTCTCGAATATGCATGTTTGCAAATATAGAAATAATCATATGAAGACCAGTGAACACCATAAATTCATATCGAGGTCTCAACTATATATAAAAATCACTTTCTTGAATCTGTCATTACAAAGTATCGTCATACAACTTCCTTCTTTCAATCATTTTTTACATCACTCAAATATATATATAAAAAAGAAATTGTAAAAGTAAGCATCTGACTTTGCATAGCTATTTCATTCACTCTCCATGTTATTTGAATTATAAAATTGTAATCCATGAAAATATATTTAAAAATATAGGTATTTAATACTATCTAAAATAATAGGTACTCTTTATTCCCCTTCAAAGTTCGCGAGTAGCTTCTGATAGTATCTCAAGTGGATTAACAAGAAAAAAGTTGAGAGAAACTAGTGACTATTAATCGTTCTACAGTTAAAGTGTAAACTGCAGAACGAGTGTCCGAAGGGTGTCCACATGAAGATGTAAACTTTCTACAATCCTTCCACCTAAAACTTAAAAATGCTATATATACGATTTGAAATAGTATATATAGCATGAAATAGAGAGTGGTGCAATCCACTTAGGTTCTTGAGAAGCTATGATTTATTTGAACTTTCGGCACGATAAAATGGGAATCAGCCCTATACAGTAAGTGTTTCCACCGCTGTTGTTTATATTAGTTCGTGCGGGGACGAGTCGTAACCGTTAGGACTTGATGGCGGGACGCTTTTGGCATGGGGACGTGTTCGAGGTTCGGATAAAGGCAAACGAATATACAAATGAATTTCAGTCCAAATATCAGTTTACTTGTGTCACGAGGGTGTTTGACTCAGAGTCTGCGAGGAAAAGATATCCTGCCTAGAGACTCGCTCGCGCATGAAGAGAGAGAGAGAAGAAGCGTAAAGACGAGGTCCCGTCCGTGTCGTCTGCGCAGTTTGGAGAAACGAGGATGATACATACGTGATTCATGCAAGCTTTTGTCCATTTATACCCATGGCATTATGTTGCAGAGCCGAGCATCCTGGATGAGATCTTTAATAGCCCAAATAAGCGACTGGAGTTCAGTTGTTAACTTTGCGCGAAAACGATCTCTGCCAGGATTTTGTCCGCTCACGGGGCGGCACTGCATACGTACTCATCGTCGATCGATGATCAGCGCGAATATGCATGGTTCGCGTGAGGCGATGTTCGAGACGGGACGAAGTACAACGTCGAGCCAAATTCGGGCCCTTTGGGTCAAAATCAGGGTCTCATGCATGCTTGGATCAATCCGACGTATCGATGACCTATTTTATTGTTTGTTCTCATGGGGGGAGCACATTGTTGCGCGTTCCACGGGCCAGCGCGCGGGCCACCGGGCCGGCATTCCTGCTACATGGAGCGACGGCCCAAGTCATGATACAAGAACTCTGGAGTTTGGACCGGATACCGGTACCGGTTCGGTCGAAGGCACCGGCTCGATCAATTTAATCATTCCCTAGATGCTCCATGATAGGGAATATTTGTACTCCGTATTCCAACTTCCCCGCAGGCGTATCTCGAATCGTATTATTGCTTGTGCTATCGCTTGGCTCGAGGATTTTCTGCGTCGCGATACCTATCCCGGATACTCTACAGATGCAGCCGAATCGTACATACTGTGATCGGATACGCATGTTCGCTTCACCTTTCAGTCGCCCGATATCGATTTGTAGAGCTCTTGGTAAATACACCCCAGAGATATCTGAGGAAGTTTGCGGCAAGCGTGCTGGATACGCGCCTTGCGATCGATACAGTTATTCATGCACACCGGTGTAAGTGGCACAAACCATTGCGTCGATTTTCAGCAATAGTTATCAGCGTTTTGAATAAAATTTCTGATTTTAATAACGGCAGTGACCAACTTGGCGGGTAATGTGACGTACCATCCTTTTTTTCACGTGGATGAACAAAATATACAGGAGAGAATGTTTTGCCGCATTTAATGATTCGATTAAAAGACTATTTTTTTCCTCCATTTTTGGCCATCCGGCAGAACCGCAACTCAAGCAGTTCAATGAAGCTTACAAATAATGTATATATCATTCAGTGTAGAAAACAAAGTTATGACTAATACAAAGTTAGAGCTGAATGGAAAAGAAAAGTAACCATTGAATACTTTCCAAATTATTCGAAGCTGTCTTAAAGCACCATGGTTAATGAGAGATTTGATTGTGTATCAATCCACGGTAACCAATACCTACTTGGTAAAACTTACCCACATTAATCAAAATGTTGATTAAACTTCCTTAAGTGCAGATTAAAAATCTGGATCAGTCATATTGCGTTATATATTTCCGATATCTATCAATGGGAATCTCTGCAAAGGTAAAACTTTAGTCTATGCCAATTAAGGGCTATAAATGCAAGAAACTTCATGATGATTTCTTGCATCAGAGTAGCTATTGATTTAATGTCATGTGTGTCATCCTAATATGAAAAGAAATCATTAAATTTTTAATTGTATGAAAATATATGACAAAACCATGTAATGGGCTTATAACATTTGGAAAAACAATGTGCTTGTTACGATCCATTTGCAATTAATTATACTCTAAACAAGGAAAAACAGGGAAAAAGAAGAACACCAACTACAAAAAACGAAAAAGCTGGTTGTCGTACCATAAGAGCCTGCAAAGTGTGACAAATGATGGGCAAATGATGGGAAGTTTCATGTCGCACCATGAAATAAAGCCTGACTGTGGTGACACGACCTAATGAAGTCCGGGGATGTATCGGCTCAGAGTGCAGGAGGAAGACCGGGTTCAACATAACCATGGTTGGAGAGGGCTGAGTTGACTGTGACGGGATAAAGCGGGAGGATGATGGGAGGCAGTACAGGGACTGGGGTCGGGGTCAGGGAGGGAGGGAGGGAGGGGCCAGGACGGGGACGGGAGTTTGACCCTTTGAGGGGGAAAGGGAAGTACGGTAGTGTAGGATGCTGTTGTTGTTCGTCGGAAGGGAACATTTGAGAGGGAGCGGTGGTGGGTCAGCGTACAAGAGACAAGGGTGGGGACCATGGACCCGGGAACCTGCATGATCTCCGGAGATCTCATATTTGTCTGGACTGCAGATGGTGCCAAAGCTCGATCTCTTGCCCTTACGCTTTACGTTAGTCGCACACCGGGCACATGAGAAGTGAGGAAAACAATCCGTTCGATGGGCTCCGGCCGAGCCAGAGGCGTCCGTTCGGAATATGCCGCTCCAGATTCGACGAGCGCAGTGGCCTCGGCCGCAGGCATTTCTCCCATTTCCTGTTCGACTGCGTGGCATGAGATCCGAGCTTTCTGGTACAGGCCTTCCTTGTCTTAAAGCTCGATCTGAAAGGCTGCAGCTCGGCAGCCGTACCTTTTCCCGTCCATATTCTGACTATTCCGGCATCGTATGTCCTTCACTCCCTTCGCATTCCCTCGTTCAAGCCAGAGAGCATCGAAGACTCGAAGCCTCATCGTTCCCAGCCCCAAATCCAGCCTGGAATGTGCATGAGCAGAGCATAGAGAGAGGGAGAGAGAGAGATAGAGAGAGAGAGAGAGCATGTAGCAGAGCAGCCGACGACGATCAAGACATTCCCTTGCCTCGCCTTTCCCTTTTTCCTTTCCCCGGCCTGCCTGCTCTGCTCTGCTCTGATCTGCCATACCCGACGACGACGACGACTGTAGACAACGGGCCGGGCCAGGAAGTCGTCGGGGCTGAGCTTCTGGCCCAATGGAATGGATGAGCCGAGCAGCAAAGTCATCGACTTGAAGCTCAACGGGTGGGGGCTGCGCTGCGCTGTGTTGTGTGTCCATGCGCGTGGAGTCATCCCTTGGCGAACAGTGAGCCTGAATGGGAGGATTCCGGCATCGAAACCCTCTAGATCTAGCACGCGCACTGTTCGGTGGTTGCAGCCAACCAGCCAGCGAGCAGTTGCGAGCCAAGGGCCAGAGGGCTTAGCGGCGAGCAGATGAGAGTACAGAGTAGGTGGAAGATGGCGAAGAGCAAGCATTTGGACAGAACGGGGCGGGGGCCGAAAGTCCGGGCTCGACAGGGACTTGCGTGGCGACGGGGCATACGGGCTGCGCCATCCCTCTCGCCTGTAGCGACGGCGGTCGAGCTGGACAGTGGCGCAAACAAATGCCTGTGGAATCGAACTGCTCTGAAATCCTCTGCACAGTCGAAGGCCAGCCAGCAGGCGGGCGGGCAGGAAGGCTGGTACGCATACGATCCGTAGAGTCCAACATTCCGGTGGCGGGGAGCGACGGATGGATGTCGGGGGGAATTACGTGAAATGGACGCTGCTGCTCTGAGAGGACGGAGGAGGGGCGGACGGAGGGAGGGAGGGAGGGAGGGCGAGGCCGTGGGCGGAAATTAGAATATGAAAAAACAGGGGACGGGACGGGAGGGGACGGGAGGAGGACGAGGGGGGGAGGCGCTTATAATAGCAAGGAGGGTGGGGGAGGGGCGGGGGGAGAATGAAGAGATGGCCGAAGGAGGCGAGGATTTGGGTACACGCGATTCACGATAGGGGAAGATACCTACATGGCGTGCCCATGTGCCAGCAGCACCTGTTGCGGCTGCGTCTTCTCGCGGATCGTGACGATGCATGATTTCGTGAGCGGGGTTCGGCTCGAGGAGCGCGCGGCAGCAGCAAGGGTCGGGGGCTCAGTGTCCGATTGCTTGATTCGAGGTGGTGGAAGACTTCGACTAACAAACTTGAATTCGGTTCCATCGGTCATCTTATGCCCCGCGCCTCCTCTTGTGCCCGCTGCACTATAAGAGCCTCGTCTGGCGACCGCCACTGATGTGTGAGCTCAAGAGTTCATCCGAAATCCAGCACCAGCCCGCATTCTGACCGACCGTCCTCTACCTCCTCCTAGGCACTTTTGGTTGCTCCTCCTCCTCCACCAACAACAACATAATCCAACCAAGTCCAGCAGCACGCAGCACGCAGCAGCCTCCAGTCTCCTCAGACTTTAGACCTGCTCGCTCTCTCTCACCTCTGCTTGTAAACTTGTACGTTCTCTCTCTCTCTCTCTCTCTCTCTCTCCTTTCTGAATCACTACTTCTATAATTACGTGTGCAATTGTAGGTCCAGTGGACTCGACATTATTAGTCTCTAGACCGTTAATTCGACAAATGGAGTTCAGTGCACAATTCACTTAACAAATTGTGCTTCATGTCCATGTAGTATCGATTTTTCTCCTGCCAGTTTATAGTATATGCTCTCGCAGACCACCTCTCTCTCCAAGTTTTTCCAGACCACTTACCACATTGTAATCAGTCTGAGCATTTCGCTCGACACTGTCTCTCAAAACTCGTATTATATCGTTTCATTCAGCTTATTTTATTTTTTGTCACTACAAGTAGGTCCCGTCTGAGGCTTGCAGTTGTCTCGACTGAGTCAATGTCGACCAAGTAGTTCCCTCTTTCGGAGGTCAAGTGAAAATTGAGAGAGTGATTGCTCGCATTGCTGCGAATGGAAATGGTCTGACACGAGATAAATATTTGGGTGTGCAGGCGTGAGTTGCCAGGAGTGATGTCGAAGTGGTATGGATCAGTGTCGGATACAGTCTCGGTCTCCATAGACCGAGTGTGGGAGGTAGCCGAGTTCGGGAACTTGTCCAGATGGGACCCGTCGTCGATCGAGAGCAGCGACATCGTGTGGGGCGACGGCTGCAGCGAGGGCTCCATCCGCTGCGTCGTCTTCAGGTACTCCGATGGCTCGCCCGGCTCGCTGTACGAGCGAATCACCGAGTACGACCCCTACGACTACACGTACACGTACGTTCTGGACGAGAACCCCTTCGGCTACGAAAACTACGAATCTACCTTCAGCCTGGATGACTGTGGCGATGGCCGCACCACTGTCAACTGGTCCTTCGAGCTGGACCCCATGGACGACTACTCGCGCGACAACATCGTCGGCCACATCGAGGACGTGTTCCAGCGGCGCATTTCTCTGCTCGAAACCGCCGCTTATGATTGATAATCAGCCGACAGAGAACTACTCTCCCGCCAGCTCCTGCTCGGGAGGGCCGCAGAATGACAAATATGTGTAATCATAGTCGTCCTATAGTCAGTCAGTCAGTCAATCAGTCAGTCAGTCCCAGAAAACGAGAGTGTGAGAGATGAGAGAGAGAGAGAGAGAGAGAGAGAGGGAGAGGAGAGGAAGTCGGAAAATTCAGCGCCGGGGAGAGAAAAAATGTGAAGAACCCAGCAGGTGAATCAATGCAGCGCTTACTAATCGACCCACAGGAACGCAGGTGTTTTTTTCGCACACGACTCAGAAGGAGAAGACCATCTATCAAGCAAATTTTTTAGTGAATTCGACCACACATGACCACGAAAGGCATTTCGACGCGCGAATTCCTCTGATCATCAACTGCGACCAGAGATTCAGACCCAGTCCTCGTTATCGGCTGTCAGGAAATGCGAGAGGGGGAGAGAGAGGAGGACAGAAATAGTGAGGTGTACACGCACACATACACACACGGACACATATGATCAGCAATTTCGATAGATGGCACAGCTGCGAACGACTCCATCGAAGCTTCAAGACGAGAGTGAATGTCCTCTCTTCGGCCCAGAACGTGGGCGCACATGGAGACTGCGAGTCATGGACGTCAAATGGCTCCTCACCAACACCACCACAAGCACCACCACCACATATATCGACTACTAACTTGTACCACTAGAGATGATGTTACTACTATCGGACCTGGTACTCACTTATAGCCACAAACGACCTCTCGGATGACTCCCAGTGAGAAATGGTATTTCAAGGGAGGAAGCATCAGGAAGAGTGTGTTTACATCCGGATGGCGCTCACACACACTTACAAGTACACGGCCACTTTGAATTCAGACAGACCCCCATACACAAATGCGAGGCAGGTAGGGCAGCCAGCCAGCGAAGCGGGGTGGCAACAGTGCTCTTTTCTTCCGAAGAATGAACTAAGCATCAAGTGGAACATGTTTTGCCCGGAGAGTTCAGATCTCTGCAGGCGTGATTACAACAACTCCAATTCAACAGACGAAACAACAACCAGCTGGACGCTGTCAGGACGGGATACGAATGCCAGTGGCCTTCAGCAACGAGTCTCAACATTCGACCGATCTATAGAACAAGCAGATATCGACGTCTTTGCACAATCAGTGAAAATCATACTGATGTGCATCTTTTTTTCAGGGCGAGCTCGCCCTGTTTCCCAACACCCACTTGTTTCCCTCGGGAGGTGACCTTTTTTGGAGATATCGATGTACACATAGATACGACCGCCAGTCCAGACCAGTCCAGTCCAGCTTTGATTTCGTAGATTTTTTCGATGCTTTAGTGAAAGAACCGCAGTGATACTTACCTTTTTTCCAGGTTTAGGTTGCCGCAGATGATGCTCACCAACATACTGAATGAACCTAGGCCTGCTAGTTACGATCCTTCTTGTTATACAAGCAAGTAGCCAGCTAACCCGCAGCTTTACTTTGGCCTCGCATCTTGTAATATATTTTAGACATAACACTCACTCACGTAGAGCGACACAGAGCGCGCGCTCCATCTAATCACGGAGGTAGGTTCTACCTCGTCATTTGTAAACATATTCATGTCATACGCCAACCACGCTATAAAAGACCGCCTTGTTCTTATTACGACGTTTCGCATGTCGGTCAGATTATGAATCTATTTTGGCCGCGGCAGGTCGCTTGGCTATGTTTCCCTTCCACGAATGCATGATGCTTCTGAATCCTCATCGAATTCGTGTCTTATACCTTAAAAAGCCCAAGGGCCGGTACCCCCGGCTCTCGTCTCGTCTCATTGCACCCATCTCCCGAGTCCATGTTGAAGAGCCCTGATTTTGGACCTCTTGGACTCTCGTTGGGCTGCCGCGTTGCGCTCGCAGAACATCTGCGGCCCCACCAACGGACTCGTCGCCGGACTTGGTTGCGATCTCGGAGGCCGTGAAGTCGAGAACTGGGCTCATAATCGGCATTCCGCCAGGATTCTGACTGACTGACTGTCTGACTGTCTGTCTCTCTGTAATGCGGTGATGAAATTCACCATCTGCTGCTAGCATATCGGAGCTTGTCACCGACCGGTCTCGTTCTTCTGAGGAAGGTGCTTTGCTCTGAAGACTGCAACGCGTCCACAACAATCCCCCAGAAGAGCCTCGGGCTGACCCCGCGTCTCGAGTTTCATGGCCATGGCCCGGACGACACATATGTAAAGTACGTTGATTGGTCGCCCATGTGGCGGCCAAGCCCAGATGTCTGAGCCTCTCGGAGTCGAAGCTGACACTTGGCCTACCTTTGGGACCTTCAAAAGAGAACTACGGACGGGCGCAGTTTCCAAGGCCGGCGAGGATGAGGACCAAACTCGCGATTGGCCAGCGAACTCATCGGGCACTTGAGGCCTCATCAGCACACGGCACTTGCAGGGCAGACGAGGGCCGATGGGTGATGCATCGGAGCGACGGTCGCTGACACGACGCCCTCGGGCTCCATAGCCCGGGACGAGTGTTGCAACCGTGTTTGCCGAGGACCTCCCGAGCTTGAGATCAGATCGAGAGAGGTGGCAAGGAGCCGTCGCTTCACACGGTTCGGCCTTGACATGGATCCGGCAGCTTGGCCATCACTCGATCGATCGATGCGGCCCTCGCCAGGAGGAGCAGCATGAGGGGCCTTGCTCTGTTTCGGATGCCGGAGTCTCGTGCACCCCAAAGGCGGGCCAGACGAAGCTTCCGGGTCCAGGAAACGAGCGCAAGCGCTAAAAGGTCACAGATCGGAAGTGCGACCGGAAGTGGAGGGTGGGGAGGGGGAGGGTTCGTCTCATTCTATGACATTCCTCCGGGCCCACAAATCTAGGATGACCTACTGCACAGGTCAGACCTACGTCTGCTGTCTGTCGCCATAACCGAAGAACCTGCAGAGCAGCCGTTAGTGGTTTGGATCCCACAGGCGCTGCGCGACGCATCTCATGATGCGAGTCTGCGGCACCGGATTGCGAGTCGTAGAAGGGAGGCGCAAAAGGAAGAAAAGGTGTACGGAGACAAGGCCGCGGGCGGGCGGGCGGGCGGGCGGGCACGCAGTCATGTCCCCGTCGTCATCCGGCTCCGGACTGTGGTAGCGACAATGGACCAGACGTCATGCAAACTGAAACAGCAGAGACGTGGAACCGGATGCCCTTTGTCGTCCTGCTTCGGCGCGATTCTTGCAGATTCTCGGTCATTCCGAGCTCATCCGTACACTTTTGTGGCTCTATTCTGGGACCTGGTATTTTCCTCGGGCTCTTGGATCTCTCGTTCCGTTTTCTTCTGTCAAATAGAGCGAGCTCTTGACTTGTGGAAGTAAACCGAACCCATTGGCCCGTCCCATCATCCGACCGTTCTCTGGCTGCTGAATCCTGCTCGACGCGTTCAGATTAGTTTCGAGAGTCAACTTCACTTAGCAGCTGCATGCTCGACTACGTGAGCGAGAGTGAAGTGAACGTTAGAGCCCGGATTGGTTTTTGCCATATTTTGAATCTATGTTTTCCACAAACAGAAAATAAAAAGGGAATGAATATGTTATTATAGGATTTTAAGTGATTTTACTCAAATCTCATGAATATGCTCTATATATTTTTTTATTGCTTTTATTTTCTTGCATCGTTTCTATTTGTCCTCATATAGAAAATTAAGTAGAATAGAATGAAAAATATCTATTTTTGAATAATTATTTTTTTAATTGGATAAAGCGTGCAAAAAAAAAAGTGCTAAGGAGATTCACACCAACAACACTCCAAACAACAATGACAAGAAGTTATCAATAAAACAGCTTGATTTATGTCTCAGAGATATTTTATCCACCTTTGTATGTAGCAATGATGATCTTAGTTCAAATATCATAATCAAGTAACTAGAGTATTCAAAATCTCTTAACAATCTCCCCATTGTCCATGTTTTGGTAATCCTAACTCTTGTTAACTAAGTAAATATTTTCTTTCACTCATTCATTTTTTGAGTTATTTAGTCAAGTTATTTTGATTAATAAAATTTCTATTTCTTAGTCAAACCAATCAAAATTAATTTGTAGATAAATAATTTTATTAAAATCTAAAAATAATAACATTCACTTAAATATTTTAAAACTATTTTAATTATTCCGTCAAATGTAAACACTATAACTAAATAAAGTTATAATTGGTTAAATTTATTCATAACTAAATTAATCATGCTGAAATCTTTGGACATTTTTTATAACTACTTCACGCATACGGTCTTACATATTAAACTCAATGTAAAGACTTTTTAGAACTCACACGTTTTTATCTTAGATTTGTGAAAGATTTTGCTTGTCTAGTTCAAGTTTTAACATGTATGTTATGTAAAGTTCAAAAATAGAAATGAAGAATAGTTCAAGAGTTAGCTTTTCATGTGTTTGAAAGATGATTTGTCATACGCTTAACTTTTCATAACAAAGAAATATAGATTTCTATTTTGAGATCTAATATCATCTTCATAAGATTTTTACTACTATTCTAATCATATTTCTTCTTTAATTTACCTCTATGTTATATCTTTTCATCCGTGACATTTCTACTATGAAATCATATCAAGCTAAACAATTTTTTTTCATTCAATTTCTTCATTATATAAATCTATTGATAACTCTCATTTTGTAATATTGTTTCGATTTGCATGTTTGGCAATTTCACTTATTAACTTACATTTTTCATCAACATCAATAGTAACTTCATGACAACACTTTGTAACACAAATTTTTTTCCCTAGTATTTTCACCTTGTTTTCTTCCATCATGCCATCAGTAACAATTAGCTGAGCTTCTTTCTTGTTACTTTCATGAGCGTCCAAACATTGTTTAGTTCACACATCATCTTATTTTTGTCTTGTGAAATCAATAAAACAGCAAGGCAAATTTATTGACAATCTTTGTTTTTTTGAAACTACTTCATTGATTTTTTCATGATCTATATACTCTATGTTGTTAAAAATTTGTTATATCATTTGACTTTTTCCTTGTGATCGAAGTTGAATTCAAGAAAATTTGGCAATGTGATCCATCATCATTCATGCATAACTTTTAGCATTATCGTAAACTCATGTTACTTCTTGAACTATTCTATTATTTGCAGATCCTTGTTGCAAATTTAAAATCATTGATTGCCAAATCTTAACTCAAAATCTTGGAGTTGGTGCATAAACTTCTTTATGTCAAAAGTAATTCAATTTCATTGATGTTGGATCGGTGGCTTGTTGAACATTGCTTGATGTTACATCATGTGTGACTCTATAAATAACTAAAATTTGTTGAGCAATTGTGATTGCTTCATTCATTGTAGATGGATTGCTAATCATCAACTTCTTGCAAATTTAATCTTTCAAATCTT